GAAAAAATCGGATGTATCCGAAGATAGCCTTGGAAGGCGCCCCCCCCCCCCCCCCCTCTCAGGCTCGATCGTGACCCTCGGGGGCCGGCAAACACATATCTCCTTTAGGGGTACCTGGCGCCCGCGCTGGGGGGGCCTCCAAACAGGGGCCAGGGCCTTTGACTCCGAGCACCCTCTACTGATGAGTTTCTTCTTGGTTTGCTGATCCTGCGGTTCCAGCCGCTGCTTTCCCCCCTTTCTGTCATGGGGGTCGAATTCTCTCGCGAGCAAGTGAGGCAGCTCAGGCTTCGATATTTCGAATGATAAATGAAGCATATTCGGCGCTAAAAACCAAAACGCGAGCTCCGCGCTCCGAAGCGCGCAAACACCTGTCCGTTGGAATCCCACCAATCCGCGCGGCGAACCCACGATGCTTCCAGGCTTTGACAGTTGCTGCCAGGCGGCGAGTCGATACGCATCAAGCTGCCATGGTTTACGACGCTTTCAGGCGCCTTCGAGGAGCGCTCGGAAGCCCTGCTGCCTCGCGCGAACCGCTTGGCACCAGCTCGAAATTTTCACCGCCCACTGACCAATCCTTTCCCGCGCAGGCCTGGCTCTGCCACGACAAATATTTCTCCGCCGGCGCCTCCCATCCATCTTTCAATCGCAGGCGCCATGTCAGATAATACACACAAACCAGCAGAAGGCATGCCCCAAGATAACCAAAACCACGGAGCCCACCGCGAAGCTCGTCGATCTTGCTGGCAGCGACCATCGCGCCCTCGTCAGTGAAACCGCGACAGCACAAGCTTCCCTCATGTCGGCTGCAGCCCTGAAGCCTTGCTATCGCAGGCCGCTCTCGCCCTCTGCATCTCATTATTGGGCGAGGTCGGCCAAGTCTCGGCTCGATGCAACAGTCGACTGTTTGTCAAGGAATGCACAAAGGCAGCTGCCCTGGTTAGCGCACGATGACAAGGCTCAAGAGCATCTGATCATGCGACCGAAGACCCGAGACAAACTTCTGAATACGTCGAGCTCGCTCTGGGCCCCGGGGCTCGTCACATGTGATCATGGGAAACGATGCTATTGCTCTGGAAATTATACCCCTGGCTGCTACGCGATAACCGTTTGGCCAGCATGGCGCCCTCTCCACGCCCGCATGGCATGGCAGCCGTTTTTCCGGGGCCGTAGTCCGACTCCATCCCGTAGCTTGCGACATCGGCCATGTTCTTGATGTTGATACTAATCTCCAAGTGAGCGCTGCAGATCGCAGGCGTCGCCGAGTCCTCCACGGAGGCGACGTCCGCCAGCACGCCCACTGCAGCGCCATCACTCGCTACCCGAGCCTCTCCTTTTCATAAACTCCTCCAGCTGGAACAGCACTCGTTTGCCTGTCAAATGCGCCTGCGCGCCCTTGAGTGGACTAGCACAGACAGCGCTGCAGAAGTAATCAGCAAATCCAGTGCCAGGACGACTGCCCCAGCGCGTCGTCGCAGTAGCCGGATTTCCTGGGACCTAAAAACCAAGGGCCGCTGCGACTCCGCCATGAAATCGGCAAGGCGCTCGACGTCCAGATTTGACGAACTGGAAAGCAGACGGCGGCATGTTTGCCTGCTGCAGAAAGTCATCCACCTCGTCTGGGGCGGAATTCATTGCGATAGCGATTTGCCTCGCACAACTCTGTGAAAAGCTGCGGCCAAATCAGTGCAGCGAATATACCATGCGGCACCCGCCTTCTTCGCCAACAGTTGAGCCAGTCGCAGGTAATGCGTCGCCATCGATGCCCCCCCCCCCCCCCTGTCGACCTCCAACCTGAAGTCCTCGAGCACGGCGCCGACGGTCAGCGCAACTCGCCCGCGTAAGAACGCGTAGAAGTGCATCGGGACTGCAGTGCTAAGCGCAAGGGCACGGCATGCTTCTACGCATAGAGCATTCCCTGCGCGTTTCGGCACCTCCGCCACCATGCAACGCGTGACCTGCACTGGCTCGGCCCCCGTGACCGTCGACGCCTTGGTTCGCCTTAAACGCGCGCTGGGCGTTTCCCCCCCCCCCCCCGCGTTTTCAGCTTCGGGCTCTTGACGAGCCGAAAGCGCTTGTTTTAATCGACATGTATATTAGATTTTAGTTAAAAGCCGTTCTCTACATATATATATATATATATATATATATATATATATATATATAAGTCGCCACGCTTGTTCTCTAGCATTATTCGGGCTGCGTTGTCGGTTGTTGTTTGCGTCTTTGTTGCGCCATCAAGCTTTTTTGCAAACATAAAATACAAAAACATACAGTTCGCAGCGTTTCCATCGTTTGTTGAGACCTGAAAACGCAAAGCACACATGTCAAAGACGCCCATCTGAACGCCCTGGGCACACTCGAGGCGACCAAAGGCCAACGCGAAGACTATCGGGCAAAGAAGGCGGCCGGCCTGGCAGGGGGCAGCACGGGGCAGGCCACCCTGGATTCAATCAAGCCCAGCGGCCTTCGACTTGGCCGCGTCCGCATACATCATCACCACTTTCCCCAAGGCTGGCACCGTCTCAAACTTGTAAATGCCCCCTGCAATCACTTTCCGCCCCAAGCCATTGAACTTGTCCACCGCAGACTGGTCGCGCCAGATAATTGCCGCCTCGACGTTGGCAACAGGTTTCAGACGCAGAGGTGGAAGCTCCCCCCCCCGTTCCGAAACTTGCCCATCGTAATCGAGTCTCAGCGGTAAAGGCCCTTTCCTTAAAAGCGCGAGCGAGCGCGGCCTCCGCATCTCAGCATCTTCTGAACCCATGCCCACGCGGCAGCTCCAAGTGTCGTCTCAGAGGCTCTGTCCACGTGGTCCGCCATCTGCGCGACGTGCGCTTTCTTGCTGCGTTTCACGGCGCCTCGAAGAATACTGCCGGTACTGCTCAGAAGCCAAGAAGTTCCTCTGGCCAAACCTTCCAACGTCACATCACCAGCTTGATAAAGACGAGCATTCAATAGCAACGCGCATGCCGCCTCAGCCCAATCCCCCCAATCGCGGACCATGCTTTTGACGCGCAGAGGAGAGCGGCGCACTAAGTTGACTTCGCAATGGCCCCCGCCCCGCCCCCAACGACGCACGACCAAGCGCCCGCGCCTCCGCTATCGAACCAGCCACATCGACTGTCGGCCGACGTAGGGTTTCAACGGGGTGAAAGGGCACCAACCGAATGCCTCCTGCACCGCCTCAACCAACGACTGGTTGGCACCGCGGTGCATGACCGTCGGATTCTCGCCCCTGTCGACATCATTCGCCTCTCCCAAAAGCCGCAAACTTCGCCGGCCTGGCCGGGCCTCCGAGCCGCGCGCAGCCAACCTTGCCGAAGCTTTTCGAGGGGGCCCGCTCGTTCGCATGCGCCGTGAACGATGCTGAAACAAGACAATAATATTCAGCTTTCTTTCATCTCACCATCGGTAGCACGGCCCGCCTCAGACTCCACAGCAACCTGGGCTGACTTCCTCGAGAAACGCACGCAGTCAACATGACGCCCCCTGCCCTCCGCCCCCCCTCCCCCCGGGCCGCGCGAGACGCCGCGGCAGAAGATTGATGCATCCAGTCCGCGTCGCCGCGCACATTGTCCGTCAGAACCGCGCTCAGTATCAGCGTGCCAAGCTCTCTGGCCGGAGCAGCCATCCCCCTCCCATCGTCATCCGACTCGCCCATCATGCCCACTTCAGCTACAATAGTTCCACTACTCATCTTGCGATCAACTCGACAATTCGCGCCCTGGAAAAATAAACCATGCTGCCGTCGCCTAAACAAGGGCGCGGCCTTTGCCCACCAACCCCTTCGCAGTTGAACCAGCGCCGTTTTGCCATGGGGCGCATGTAGAACAGCAACAAGCATCTTCAAGCACGGGGCCTCAACCTCAGCCATCAAGGCAATCGGTTCCGCATGTAGTACACGGATTCTGCCATCGAGAAAGCACCTCGGCTCGCCCCCCCAACGCAGCGCGGGTTGACCAAGTCCAGCGACAGGGCGCAGCCGCAGCTCCCGTTGCCCGTCCCCGAGTGCACCTCCAGGCACCCATCAGCTCTGCATTAGCCTGCTTTGCATCGGCTCTCCTGCACGCCAGTCACGTTGAGGCGCGCGTCGTGGAATCGCCTTATATTTTCCCCTGCTGGCCTCGGCGCGCCCGCGTTCGCCTAGGAATACCCCCCTCGGTGAACGCCTTGGGACTGCACGCGGCCGCGCGCGGAGCGATTCGGACACGCCTTGCGTCTACGCGCATAGCCAGCATTGAACCAAACGCAATCGCCAAGATGCAACTCCTTGAATGGCGCGACATAAGCCCGGCCCGCATGAAAACAATGACCAACGCAATAGCGCGATCAAGCTGGCCCTCCTACTATAGCCCCATCTTGTTCTGCAGGTTGTTTGCGCCCATGAACGCATCGAGAGCACTGCCGCTGCACTTGCTCCACCCGCGAGATCCACGCGAGCGCGCGCCCATCGCGCCAGGCGTCGACGCCGTCGGCGGCGCATGTCGCAACGTCTGCCCACCGCAAGGGCGCAACATCAGCCACGGCACGCCCCAGAAACGGGGCAGCGTCAAATTGCCATCCATCTCCACCTTGCAAGAACTTACCGGCAAAACCGGCATCGGGGAGGGCGCGCCTACACTAAGCGAATTCGACGCTGGCGTCGGGGGGGGGCCCTGCCCCCCCCCGCTAAACGCAATCGGAAACCAGCCGGCCCGGATCTACGACCACCGACGGACCTGGTAGCTCCTCGCGCTCCTCGCCGTCCGCGTCGGACGCGAGGTGCACGACGCGGCCAGACGGCGCTCGCTCGCGCCCCCGCAGTCTCTGGGCACCGATACCAGCAGGGCCACAACAAGGTGAAGGCGCTCAACATGAACTATTCCCAGCTGCGCCGCCCATCTCATCGGGGGCCCCTGGAAGTCCCGAGCCGTCAATCGGCAGACTGGCCCCGCCGCGGCTTGATTTTCCCCTGGACGGCTCGCGGGAGAAAGGTGCAATCGCACCTGCGCCTGTACCCCTCATCTTGCGGGTCGGTGATCGATCTTCTCCCTCTCGACTCCTCGGGGCGCGCTGCGCGGCGGCGCCGGTCGACCCCCTCCGCAGCTGAGGGCGATTGCCCCAGCGCGTCATACGGGACGGCTCGCGTTGGATTCTGCCTGGGCGCGTTGACCTTGTTGACCGCAGCGCTCTGCCCAGGTCGCTCCAAGTCCGAGATCTCCCCGTCAGTGGATGAACTTCGCTTCCTCGGCGAAATAGGCACCGTCGGATCAGCGGTTGGCTTGACCCTTTGTTGGTCAGGGATCGGAGGGCCCCCGGGCGCCCACAAGACTGCGCAGACTATGCAGGATAGCGCGGCAGCTGCGGGGAAGAAGCGCGAAAGCAAGAGCTTGACAAAACACCGCCTGCAAGGACTACGTCAAGGACCGGCCGGCGCCGCTACGACAAGCATCGTAGAATGCTCTCCGTACGTGCGAAAATCTCGACAACACGTTGGCCGTGAGACGAACTGTGCAATCGCCGCGAGGCAGTGCTACTGGCAGTGTCCGATGCGCTTACCGTCGCGAGTGGTCGCGGCCCCTCGTGCTAACGGGTGCGTTCGCCCCTGGGCCCAAGCCTCGCGCTTGGCCGCCCGATCTTGCTCATTGAGCTGGGCCACTACGGAGGGAGGCAGAGGAGGGACATCGGCAAGCACCCAGGCCGTGCACGTTGGGCGCCGCTTATCTGACAAGGGCGCGACGCACCGCAATCGCGTGTGGAAATTGGTGCCGCGCGCAGGACACACGCCAGAGCCGTCGATGCATTGCTTGACGGCCAAACGATGCCCATGCTTGGCCCGACAGTGGCTGGCCAATGCGCGCTCGGAAGGAAAGCGCGCTGGGCAGACTGGGCACTGGTGGCCCAATCCGCGCCCGGCACCTGGCTCCGAGTGCTCTGGCGAAGCGGCCCTGTCCAGGCAGGACTCGTGAAAGCAAACCTTGTCGAGGATCTGGGCCCACTTGGCGGCGTCGCTCAACAGGCCAAGCCAGGCCTGCGCACCATGCCGCAAGGAAGGCGCACCAGGCACAAGGCCAAGCGAGCGCACCCTCTCCACGTCAGCCCGGATTGTCGCTAGCCACGGTAACTCTGGCTCCCCAGCGCCAGCCTGCAGCAAGGCGAGGAGGTGCGCTGGCTGGTTCCGGATCAGCCTGCCGAAGAACCGCAAGCGTGCAACCATCAAGATGCAATCGAGCGAAGGCTGCCCAAGCTTCTCCCTGACCTCCCGGTCAGACAGCGCCACCACCTTAGAGAAATGAGGGTCTCCTGCAATACGTCGAAGCACTCGCATGTAGACCCCAGACAGGCGTCGAATCGCCTTGATGGTCAGGGTGCAGACGTGAAGGTTGAAGGTGAGGCGGGAAAAGACGAGGCTGCGCAGGAATGCAATCTTGTACTTGTCGTCCATCAACGGCGAGCCGAAGACCTTGCGGGAGATGGGCGCGTACGCCGTCATCGCAGACTGCGACCTGTGAGCGGCACTGCGGAATGACATTCCGTACGCAGAGACCCACGTGCCGAGGTGTTTGTATTCCTCGCCCGCGTGAAGGGATTGGCCGGAACCGGGATCGGGATGGCCAGGCTGCCGTCTGCTTGCCGCCTTCGGTCTTGCCCTTGTTCCAGTTTATCTCCAGGTGGAGGTCGCTGAAGGCGCCGAGCAACATCTCGAGCAAGGTTGGCTTAACTCCCAGCATATCCGCCGGCCCAGGAGGCAGCAGCGCCGCTCCTTCCTCCTCGCGTTGCTGGCCGAGGATCTCGGCTGCATCCACATCTCCCTCCGCTAAGGCGGGGGTAGAATCATCCGACATCATGGCAACAATGCCCGCGCTGACAGCAGCTGCAGCTGCCTCCTCGGGGGCACGACCTCCCCATGAGCAACATGACCTTGGCCCCTGGCCTCGGTCGCCATCTTTTCCATCATGCCTTTGCGTGCAGATACCTTTCGCCATTCCATCTCCAGCGTGTAGCTATGATCGCGTCATTGTCGATGCGGGTCCTCTGCTCCCGGCTCTTGGTGGCTTGGATCATGGCCTTCTGGGAGCCTTCGGCTTGATGTGCCATCGTAGTCTCAACGTCCGATCACCGTCTCAATCAGCTGGTTACTGTAATGTTAATGAGACTGCGGAGATTGCTGAACTTGAAAGATGACATCAGACAGGACATTGACGATCCTATCGAAAAGAATCCTTCACCTTGCTCTTCATATGGGTGGACGCCGCTACAATCATCAACTTTTCACGGTGGTCCTCAGCCTTTTCCAATATCATCTTTGTGTTGCTCCAACGTTGTCTGAATTATCACCTGCTGCTTCGTTGAATTCGCCCCGAAACTGTTGAGGGAGCTCGCCTGGTTGGTCTGCTCATCCTTTTACCAACGCATACGTGGCCTGGGTTTCGGCAATTGAATTCCCATGGCGCTGCATCCCATCCGTGATTATGTCGAGCTGCCCCATTACCTTCTCAACCGCAGCTGGCGGCGTCGGACTCGGTGCCCGTGACCTCGGCGGAGGCGGTGGGTGTGCTACCCTCGAAAGCTCTTGGACAGGCCACGTAGGTCCAGCAGTAGGCTCCTCGTCCTCCACCAGTTTTGACCGTGTTTACTGTACCCTTCCATGGCGGAGCCGTCCGAAGAAGCTGCTCCTGCGGCACCTCCGACTCGCCGGCCTCATCCCCGTGGTCACGACAGTACCGCACTTGGCGGACGAGCACGCCATGCCTGATCAACGTTTCCTCGAGCTCGATCCCTCGTTCCTGTAACTTCAGAATCCTTCTGGCCAGAACCAGCCCACCATTGATTTTGCAATCCTTCCACGAGGGCTCATTTATCCGATCGCCAAGCCCTTTCGTCATAACGGGAAGGTACTTCAACACGGCCAGCTCCGTGGTCTAACCATTGGAATTCATGTTGGCTTTTTGCTGTGCACCGATCACTTATGCCAGCGTCTCCGTACTGCTCTGAACTCGATATACGTATGCACGCTTCTGACCTCCATCCAGTTCTGTACATGACATTAACGCTATGCTTGAAATGATTCGCAAAACCAAGCTCTGTATGTCTCGTTTTCTTTCGCAGCATGCTGTTGTCCATGTCGCTGCTGCTGCTGATGCTGAGACTTCCATGTGCCATGTTGCTGCTGATTTTGTGACCACGACAATCCACAATGACACGTGTCCACATTGATAGGTAAATTGGAGCCACAATTCCCGCACTGCAACTGCTGCCTCGGCGATGCCATCTGCCTCGACTGGTGACTATTGAGCAATGTCCTCGCTGCAGCCACCCTCAGCAGGGCGCGGGCGTTCGCTCTGGCCTGGCGGTCTCGCCTGTGCCAGGCGCTCTCGCCCTCCCGAGGCGACCTTGCCTCAACACTGCGGCCTCTGCTGCGGAGCGCGGCCGCGGGTCCCGCGGCGAGGGGCACGGCGAGGAAGCCCCCTGCCGCGGGATATGGCGACACGCGTGAGGCCCGCCGCCGCTGACCAGCCTTCCTTTGAGGCGCAGCCCGATCGAGCGCGCTGTTGTTCTCCTCCTCCTCCTCCTCCTCCTCCTCCTCCTCCTCCTCCTCCTCCTCCTCCTCCTCCTCCTACTCCTACTCCTACTCCTCCGCCTCCGCCTCCGCCTCCGCCTCCGCCTCCGCCTCCGCCTCCGCCTCCTCCTGCTCCTATTCCTCCTCTTCCTCCTCCTCCTCCTCCTCCTCCTCCTCCTCCTCCTCATCCTCCTCCTCCTCCTCCTCCTCGTCCTCCTCCGCCTCCTCCTCCTTTTCCTCGTCCTGCTCCTCCTCTTTCTCCACGCGGGCAGGCATCCGAAGGGACCAAGGGATTGCAAAACGCGCGCCACACGCCAGAGCGGAGCGAAGCCTGCTGAAGCGAGGGCGGCACCTCGCTCTCGTGGGCGCGGCGCGGCCCGGTTGCCGACAGCCGAGCGGGCGAAGCATGTGAACCGCGCCTGGACGGCAGCGCTGCCCTGGGGCGGAATCTGCGCGACGCTGGGGCCGAGGGCGATAGTTCGCCCGCGCGCGTGCGGGCCCGCAACCGGCGAGTTGCTGAGTACCGCGCCCGAGCGGGCTCCCAATTTTCCACACAAGCATCCGCGGCGCTGGATTGAAAGCGGCATTCCGGCCTGTCCCTCGCGGCGTGGGCCACAGAGGGAGGGATGGTGGGGAGGAGGAGAAGAAAGGGGAGGGAGGACGAGGGATGGAGGAGGAGGGAGAGAGAGAGAGAGAGATAGGGAAGGAGAGAGGGCGGAAGTGAGGGAGGGAGGAGGAAGGGAGCGAGGGAAAGGAGGAGGGGAAGAAAGAGGACAAGGAGGAGGAGGGTAGGAGGGAGGAAAAGGAAGGAAAGCCTGGTGCGGCCGCGACCAGGCGTCGGTGCGCGCGGGGAACCACGGTCCCTCCAGCTCCGGAGCGGCCTGCCAGCGCGGCCCGCCCGCCCACGGGGAGGGAGCAGGAAGGGAACACAGGGAGGGAGGGAGCGATTAACCAAAAAAGGACCCCTCGTCCTCTGGGGGGGGGACTCAAGTTAGGAGGGCCAAGAACATTGTGGATAGGGAATATTTTCCGCCGATGTGCCAAACCAAACCGCCCAGAATTATCATCCATAATGCCAAGAAGGGGGCCTCAGTGAGGCTACTTTTTCGCTGTGTAATACTAGGCTTAAGGGGTTCTGTTATTCTCGATGAAGGGATCGTCGCGCCTCCCTAAACCATGGCTGACTGTGGAAACGTGCTGTCCCCTCGCCCGCCTGCCACACCGTGTCAGACTGGAAGAAGGAGGGCGAGCAGGAGGACGAGACGAATTGTGTTGTGTGTTGTTTTTTTTTCTCTCTCTCTCTCTCTCTCTATCTCCCTCCCTCTCTCTTTCTCTCTCTCTCTTTCTGTTCTCTCTCTCTCTCTCTCTGTTTCCCTCTCTTTTTCTATATATATATATATATATGTGTGTGTGTGTGTGTGTGTGTGTGTGTGTGTGTGTGTGTGTGTGTGTGTGTGTGTGTGTGTGTGTGTGTGTGTGTGTGTGTGTGTGTGTGTGTGTGTGTGTGTGTGTGTGTGTGTGTGTGTGTGTGTGTGTGTGTGTGTGTGTGTGTGTGTGTGTGTGTGTGTGTGTGTGTGTGTGTGTGTGTGTGTGTGTGTGTGTGTGTGTGTGTGTGTGTGTGTGTGTGTGTGTGTGTGTGTGTGTGTGTGTGTGTGTGTGTGTGTGTGTGTGTGTGTGTGTGTGTGTGTGTGTGTGTGTGTGTGTGTGTGTGTGTGTGTGTGTGTGTGTGTGTGTGTGTGTGTGTGTGTGTGTGTGTGTGTGTGTGTGTGTGTGTGTGTGTGTGTGTGTGTGTGTGTGTGTGTGTGTGTGTGTGTGTGTGTGTGTGTGTGTGTGTGTGTGTGTGTGTGTGTGTGTGTGTGTGTGTGTGTGTGTGTGTGTGTGTGTGTGTGTGTGTGTGTGTGTGTGTGTGTGTGTGTGTGTGTGTGTGTGTGTGTAAGCCGTTACAGACATGCGAGGCAAGCCACAGACGAGCGCAACTTTGTAGGGTATCCTTGAGCGCGGCGGGTCAACAAAAACGCCGTTCTCATCTTTGCCAGACAGGGGGGAGTGAGGAAGGCCAGTGGCGCCACACAACCCTCGGGAGCCTTTACATTTAGCTTCGAGGGAGGAGGCCGCTTCAAAGTTACACAGAAGGGTGGTACCTTTTCTCCACTTCGCACCAGATCTACAGTAGTCAACTTCAACTTTAAAATAACCGAACAAATCCTAGAGGCGGCGGGCACCTGGAACATGCCAGAGGATGCTCGTTCGAGGGTTCTCGAGCACTGCACGAACGTTGTGTTGATGGCAACATCGCAAGAGACGGATCGTGAAACGTGTCAGCAGGCTGGCGTCGGCAACCTTCTGGGCGTCCGCAGGCGGGAGCCCCTCCAGCCCCCAGGGGCGAGTCGAGGACCTCACAGGTCCTGGGCCAGCGCCTCCGGCACGAGCCCGCCTGTAGGCGGCGCAGGGAAGCCCAATCCAAACGAAGCGTATCTGACCAGAACGCACTAGTTCCAGAATCCGATACTGAACGGCACAGCGAGCGACATCAGCGCCAGGCCCGTCGAGAATCTCGTAGACCAGCGCGGGCAGCCCACGCCTTGCCAGGGCCCGGCTGACGCCCGCCGCGTCAGCGAAAACCTCTATGGTGATCGGGGCCGCTTTCGCAGCGGGAGTGGGACCGCTGACGGCAACCCAAGGAGCCACTCCTCGAGGTTAGCGCACGCCATGTGCGCGAAGGCGAGGAGGTGTGGCGGCGTGGCCTGCGTCGCCTTCTGCACGCGCCCGCTCTTCTCGCACCGGCGGAGGCTGGCGCGCGTCTCCCACGTGCCGCGTTTCCGCGCCTCCTCGAGCATCCGTCGCTTCAGGGGGATGTCCCTGCTGGTCCCGCCGTGGCGGGCCTGGTACGTGACCAGCTTGAACTGCTCGAGGCCCAGGTCGACACACGCATGGTCGAAGTGCCTCTTGTACAGGCGCATGCCGATGGGGAACGGCATCTCGTCGTCCGCCTTCCGCCTCACGAGCGCCCTGATGAGGCGGGCGGTGTTGGGGTCGTAGTTGCCGAAGATGATGGCGTCGCCCTGGGCCCCCGTCTTGCTGATCTCGCCCCTCTCCTGGCGGAAGAGGGCGATCCCCCACCTGTCCATGCCCTGGGCCGCCACCGGAGTGAGCACACCCCCCACTCTCACGGACATCAGAGCCCCAGGTCGGATGTTGGTGTCGAAGGAGGTCACGAGCGCGATCGCCGCCCGCGCGATGCCCCGCCTGTGCACGGCGGCCGGCAGGGCCGCACATCACTCCCAGGGGAGGGGGGGGCGGCTCGCCGGCGGGGCCGCCTTGCGAAAGCCCCTCAAGGCCCGGCGGAGGCGAAGGGGGGTCCCCCGACCCAGGTTGGCCACGTCGGCGCGGCAGAAGAGCACGGCCCCTAGCAACGTGTTCCCGACGTCGCAGCGGCCCCCCTCCAGGAACCGAACGTCGAGGTACTCGACCGCCGCCAAGTCCACATCGGCTGGGGTCTGGGTGTCCAGGCACTCCTCCTCGGCACTCTCCATGAACGAGTCGAAGATCACCCTGTAGCGCTTCTGCATAGCCTTGCCCACGGACCTGCTCTCGAGGAGGCTGAAACTCCCGGCGCGGGCCCGCGGGGGCGGGGTTTCGGACGGACCCGCCACCCGCCTCGCCCTCGCCGCGGCACGCCGACTGCGGAGCCGCTCTCCTCGCCGAAGGACCGTCGGCGGCACGACAAAGGAGGGGGCTGGCGTGGCCCTCGCCAGGCGGGCCGGCCTCGCCGCGCTGGCTGCGGGGGCCAGCGTCGAGGGCTGCTGACCCGTCGGCGGCCTGGCCAGGCGAGCCGCCCCCCTCTCCGTCGGCGGCCCGCCCCGAGCCCTCAGGGGACCGACAGTCCCCCCGATCCGCGTCGCGGGCGACGGCGGCGACAGCCGGGCCGCCTGCCTGGCGAGCCGAGGGGCCCCCCGCGCCGCCGCCGCCTGCACGGCCGCCGCCCGACAGGGCCTGCTTGCGGGCGGCCCGGGCACGGAGCTGCGCCGGCCGAGCCTCATCAGCGAGATCAGCGGTGGTCACGAATCGACAAGAGGGGCTATCGGCATGATTGAACTCCGACGGGACCCACCTCCAACGAACACGCGCCCCCGCCACCAACGATGCCGCGGCGAACTGGCGACAGATCTGGAGCAGAGCGTTGTCGGCCGCGCGCCCCTTGCTGAAGGCGAGCGCCGCCGCCATGCTGTCCGAAAAACCGAGCATCCGACAATCGTGAGCTTTCGCGCCCCTGACTCTCCTACGCACGGCGGCCAGACAGGCCCGCGCCTCCAGGGTGCGAACTGCTTCCCCGCGATCCCACGGGGCAGAGACTACGGCTTTCCACCGGTCCTTAGCGAGCACCCGTTGAGAGACATCGGGGAAGGCCTCTTGAGGGCCCCGCGCCAATTTGGCGGGCTTGCCGCATGGCTTCACCGCGACGGGGTCGTTGAAGGGGTCGGCGGCGCAAAGAGCGCCGGCCCTAGGGCCCCCCCCCCCTCTTTCAAACTCCAGACGGAACCTCCAACGCTCGCTGTAGGCGCCTTCGGTCTCCAACTCTTCGGTCGCGAGGACAGCTTCACGCGCGCCGAAGCCAGAGGGGCCCGCGTCGGCCATAAAACTGAAAGGGCCCCAGGGAGAGCGGAGATTCGCGGAACAGAGTGGCAGCAAACACCCCGAGATTCAGCACTCTCGAGCCAAGCTCGGCCAGGGGCGACCACGGGAATTATATTATTTGCGAACAAACGCATAGCTAGAGCTTAGAATCGAAAGAAGCTCCCATCGGGCCAACAGCTGAGAGGCGACGCGCCCGAGGAGGCGCTCCAACTGTCTTCCAGACACGACGGGGCGACGAGCGAGGGCAAAGAGGGCGACTCGGAGGCGCCGCTGCCTCTCTGGGGCCCCACTATAACGCCCTCGGGCTCCGTCGAGGAGGAAGCCCAAACCTTGGGCCCACTGGGCCGCTTCCTCCTCCTCGTGCACCTCGAAACCTAACTGGCGACAATGATCGGCGACTCGTTCCCGGGCGCGATTCGCTGCATCGCGGCACGTCGCGGCGACCGCGAGGTCGTCACAATGGGGAAGCGCGAGGACGGAGGAGCCGCGGAGGGGAGGAGCGCGAGCACGATCGAGCAGAAAGCCTGGGGGCAGATCTAGCGCCCGCCCAACCTCCGTCGAATGAGCCAGCTGAGCGAAAAAGAAACTCCAGCCCCAACCCATGGGGGGGCACCCGGAGGGCCGGAAACCAAGGTCCGCGAGGGGGTCCGGAGCCCAGGAACACGGGCGGCGAAACGAGATTTCAACAAACAAGAAACAAATCGGAACCGACGGCGTCAAAGGCGAAGCACCTACTGAGCTCCGGGAGGATCCCGCAACAATAGAAATAGTCGTTGATGTCCGACAACGAGAACCACGCCTCCTCACCTTCGCCGATGACTACGTCGGCCTAAGCAGCGCCTGTGCCCACCGGGAGGCGAGGCGCGGGGCGGAAGCAACGGTTGGTCGCGCGGCAGTCGATGACAAGTCGCTGCCGTCCGTCTTTCTTGCGGACGGCAAAGGCTCCAACCTTGCAGAAAGGCCTCGAGATGTAGGCCAACAAACCAGCTTCGTGCATTTGGGACATCAGGTTCTGGAAATGTTTGGACCCCCCCCCCGGAGCTTTGGATCAGAGTAAACTTCCGCGGGCACCTGCGTTTCACACGCGGCCCCCCACTCCTCTTCGTTCAGAAGGATGTGTTGCTCAAAACCTACGAGAAATTGACTGGCATCACTCGGGAGACGAAATGCGAGATCCACAAGCTTTGCTCCAGCACGGGGCACCGAGATCAGCTCTGAGTCGTAGGACGCGAGGCTAGCGGCGGGT